CCACCCACAGGTGTGTCTGTTTCCCAGGTCTGACTCAGGGTTCAGTGGTCTCCTCCTTTGGCACGGCTGGATGGGGAGGGCAGGCTAGAGGCTGCAGGCACTCCTCACCAGTGACAAGATCCTTGTGCTGGGTGCAGCAAGATGAAAATGGAAAAGGGACTAAGCTTCAGAATGAGGCAAACAAACTCAAATCCATCTCCCAATTCCGAGTGACTTTAGGCAAGTCAGGTAATAAAAGGGGAATAATGCCCTAGCTGGTTTGGCTCAGTGTATAGAACATCGGGCTGTGGACTCAGGGGTCCTGAGTTCGATTCTGGTCAAGGGCATATGCTTCGGTTTCGGGCTCGGTCCCCAGTAGGGGGCGTGCAGGAGGCAGCCAATCAATGATTCCCTCTCATCATTGATGTTTCTATCTCTCTCTTCTTCTCCCTTCCTCTCTGAAATCAATAAAAATATATTTTAAAAAGGGGGGGGGGGAAATAATAATTTTTAGTTTATAACCAAAGCACTTTGTATAGTGCCTACTAGTACTGTGCCTTGTCCTCTCTCATCTTGGGTCTCTGAGTTTAGTGAAAGCCTATAGAAATGGAACCAAACAGTCCTTGGGGTGGGAGTAGGGGAGAGAGGAGGAGCTCTCATGTGAAGCTGATAGAGGTGATCCCAAGAGCAAGAAGAGAGGGAAGGCTGAACTTCCAATTTCCAGAATCGGGGGTAGCCAAGATTTAATATATTAAAAAATAACTGGAAATAAAGTCAACATATATCTTTGTACATAATGATTTTCAAAAATAATGGGTAAAATTATTGTGTAAAAGAGGGTCAGTTTTATGCCCTGGTCTGTTGCTCAGTGGTTAGAGCATTTCCCTGGTGACCAAAGGGAAGTGGGTTCGATTCCTAGCACAGTCAGGGTGTGTGCTGGAGGCAACCAATCAGTGTGTCTTTCTCCTCCTTTCCCCCACTCTTTAAAAACATCAATGGAAAAACATATCATCAGGTGAGGATTTTTAAAAAGAGGATCAGTTTTAAAGATGATATGTCTTTAGATGCACAGGGTCTTAATTATGTTCCAGAGAACTCAAGCTTTAGTCCAATTTCATCTTTAGGCAGTATTAAGGCTTATGATATTTAAGAACTGCTGGACTGAGCAGTGTCCACAGAGGGGAAAAGGCAAGGAGACAGAGAGAAAAAGAACACCGGGGAATCCAAAACTGACTGAAAGAAAAGACTTAGGGATAACATCAAGATTTTTTATTTGGCAAATTATGGTACCAAACCTTGATGCTCTTGATGCAACCCAGGCTCCTTTCATCAGAATCTTTGAAGATGAGATCCAGGTATCAGTATTTTTTACAACAACCCATGTGATTCCAATCCTATATAATAAAAGCCCAGCAACCAAACAGCGAAACAACCAAAACGACCACTTGACCAATCGCTATGCTGCACACTGACCACCAGGGGGCAGACACTCAATGCAGGAGCTGCCCCTGGTGGTCAGTGCGCTCCCACAGTGGGAGCACCGCTCAGCTGACATAGATGAGTGGCACTCCCAATAGCAGGAGCAGCTGCTCAGAGGACGGGTCCACAGCCGCTCCACTGACCAGGATGAGTGGCTGCTCCTACAGCAGGCCAGTCCCCGTAGGCCACATCCCCCACCAGTGCACAAATCCATGCACCAGGCCTCTAGTACATCAATAACCTTATTGGTCAAAATAAGAAAGTTAGGTAGGATATTGAGATGATGGAGGGAGGTGATGAGTATAGTAACTCTAGCTATATAGAGGTCAGGGTTCCAACAAGGCATCTAGGAGGGAATTAAAAACTGGATCTCTGAAAGGATAGAGCATCTCAATGTTTTGGAGAGCCATTCATTCATTCATTCATTCAATAAACATCCCTTAAGGCAGTGGTTCTCAACCTTCTGGCCCTTTAAATACAGTTTCTCATGTTGTGACCCAACCATAAAATTATTTTCGCTGCTACTTCATAACTGTAATGTTGCTACTGTTATGAATCGTAATGTAAATATCTGATATGCAGGATGGTCTTAGGCGACCCCTGTGAAAGGGTCGCTCGACCGCCAAAGGGGTCGTGACCCACAGGTTGAGAACCTCTGCCTTAAGGCTTGTTTGTTGGATATCAAGTCCAACAGATAGCCCTAATCAGTTTGGCTCAGTAGATAGAGCTTTGGCCTGCGGACTCAAGGGTCCCAGGTTCGATTCCGGTCAAGGGCATGTACCTTGGTTGCTAATGTTTCTCTCTCATTGATGTTTCTAACTCTCTGTCCCCCTCCCTTCCTCTCTGTAAAAAATCAATAAAATATATATTTTTTAAAAAGTCCAACAAACAGTTTTCTAAACAAAGAAGTAATATAAAGTGTTGTGAGCTCTAAGACAGAGATCTGTATGTAAAACAAGAGAAGAGGGCTCAATTCTCTTGGGAGTGGTCGCAAAAGATTTCATAGAGAAGGGACAGGAAGAAGGAACCCTGAGGGAACTGAAGAAAGAGGAAAAGATAGACTTGGGAACTATGGAGTAGCTTACTTAGGTAGGCCAGGGAGGAAATGGGAATGTAGGATAAAGTACCTTGAAAGGTGATGGAGGAAAGAATGGCTAATGCAGCAGTTCTCAACCTGTGGGTCGAGACCCCTTTGGCGGTCGAATGACCCTTTCACAGAGGTCGCCTAAGACTATCCTGCATATCAGATATTTACATTACGATTCATAATAGTAGCAACATTACAGTTATGAAGTAGCAACGAAAATAATTTTATGGTTGGGTCACAACATGAGGAACTGTATTTAAAGGGCCAGAAGGTTGAGAACCACTGGGCTAATGGGAGGGGCATAATATACTACAGAGAAGGCAAAGTGAGGCTGAGAAACAGCTGTTAGATTTGATGATCACATGGATATGGAAATTAGTTTCCATAGGGGGATACCTGGGGGAGATAAGAGTGGGTGGGATTTGGAACTGGAACCATTGAAAAATGAGACGGATTCTGAGAGGGCCAAAGAAAATACTATGGGGAAGGTTGGAGAAACACATTTAAGTATTAAAATAGAGAGGAGTTGCCTTTGGGGAAAGAGTTTGGGACTCGGGGTTAAACTATTATGTTGCATTCTTCTAGCCTGGAACTGAACGGCTTTCTCTGGCTGTCATTTTTTTTTTTTCATCTATAAAATGATGGGGTTAGAAATTTTGATTTCTAAAGTCATGCCCAGATCTGACAATTGAAGAAATTCAGTGGTGAGAGCAGAATTAAATGAGAGGATAAAAATGACTCTTCGCTGCATAGAGCTTGGTGATGGGTCAACTTTGTCTTCTAGACGTGGTTATTTGCCATGTTCAGCCACCTCATTCTCCAGCACATGCTCTGGAACCCACTTATATAAAAGTGTGAAGTAGTCCAGGGTGCCGCCTACTATCTAGGGCTCTCCCCATGAGAAATGCAGTTTAAAGGTCAAAGTCACAGCTTCTGGAATCAGACACTCCTTCACTAGCAAGGTGACTGTGTAAATAAGTATTTACTGTGGGTTTCCTAATCTGTAAAATAACACCATCTGAATTAGTTGCTCACCCAGGGTAAGCAGGTGGAGAGAGTATCAGCTACAGGTAGGACCAATCCTATTATAAGAAAAACCATCACAACAACAACAAAAAAATGTTTTATTCGAGATTTTAGAATCCCAGGTATTAGCTCACTTAGAACAAGAAAAATGAGAAATAACAGAATTAGAAAGAAAAGAAAAAGTTAGCCCTTTGGTGCATATGGCAACTGATTTTGACTTTTATTTTAAAATATGTAAGACTAAGGACCTAAGTCAGTCGATCAAACCCACTTTGATCTCTCTTGTCCACATTCCCAGGGCCAAGGAAAGGCTGGTAGAACTGGGCCCAAGCTGACATCAAGAAGCAAGAGGTAGAG